AGAAGAGTTTTAGCTAATGGTTTTGGCATTGCTGATGTTAAGAATGAAAATGTTACTTTAGAGATTATATTTCTTCTATTGCTTGTCCTCAGCAATTGCCAGTTAGTGAATCTGGTGTTGTAAATGGTTGGAGATGGCAGCCCACGTCATTTTCAGGCAATTAGGTCTTCATTACAAATTAATGAAGTGGTAATTGCTCCCTGCGACTTTCTTGGTACAAAGCATGCTGGGGTTGTTTGCATTATCTTCATGCAATTCATAACTCTGTATTCAAGGACTTGGGATAGCTTGCCAAATTAAACTACAATGAGAATTCCTTAATTAAAATCATATTTTACATCACATTATGAAAATCTCTTCAGAATCTGCTTCTTGATGCTTATATGGCTTATAGCAAAAAAATTTGCAAAGGGTTTATTGATCAAAGTAAACTTTCATCTATTCTTAGGAAAATTTGATTTTGAAATGTGAAAACAATTGATCTTTATTTTTCCCTTTAATCATACTGTCATGATCTAACTGTAAAGACCCAGAATGCATCCAGACTTGCCTCACATTCAAGTGTGGAGTACTACCACAAAACATGGATATTTAACACCAGAAAATTCTGAATATCAAACACAGCCCTTTACCCTTCTAAAATTAACTCTTTTGCCTTGACTGCGACCTTATAGATCCTTATCATAAATTCCTTAGAACTGAGACACCTCTTGCAGGAATTTCTTCAGAAAAGATTCCTATACTAACCACATATGCAATGAATGTTGGAATATGTTATTGCAGATCACATTCAATTACATTTATTTATTTGTTTGTGTCCTAATTGTGATGTGGTTTTGAAGTCACAGGACACTTTAGGTTCTTTTCTCCTGCCACGCAGGGATTGGGAATTGACCTCTGGTCATCAAGTTTGGTGGCAAACCTTTATTTGCTGTGCCACCTCCCTGAATCCTGGAAATAGTTATAAAAACTATAGTGTAAACATGTAGTCTCCTTACATTATTATACAAATATTACTAAAGTTGTTTATAGTAGTACCATTGTGTTCCTTTGTTGGACTTATGCTGGTTATAACAATGAAGTTAGGACAAATTTTCCTCAAGAAAATTCATGTCCATCCATCCTTATAAAAGTTTTTAAAATAGCTAGTCCTGCTTGTTCCTGTTGTTTTGTAATATTGTAGGGGAGAAATTGAAAATAATTTCTCCAAACCAAGTTTCTCCATCTATAGTGACTGAAAGCTTTGCTGGATACAATAGTCTGGGCTGGTATCCATGTTCCCTTAGCATTTGTAGAACATCTATCCAGAATCTTCTCGCTTTCAAAGTTTCCATTGAGAAGATGGGTATAATTTGGATAGGTCTGACTTTATATGTTACTTGGCCTTTTTCTTTTGCTGCTCTTAATATTTTTTCTTTATTCTGTAAGTTTGGCGTTTTGATTATTATGTGGCGAGAGGACTTCTTTTTTTGGGTCCAATCTATTTGGTGTTCTGTAAGCTTCTTGTACTTTCATAGGGATATCCTTCTTTAGGTTGGGGAAGTTTTCTTCTAGTGAACCCCACAAATTGTTTTTGATCATCTAAACACTCCGAGGTAAATTCTTTGTATTTCTCCAATGTGACTTGAAAGTTTAAAGAAAATGCTGTGTTTCCTTTTCCCCTTTTAGATCTTCTTAATATATGTATATATTTTAGTAATCTTCTTCTTAGCCTAGTCATCTTTCTGCAATATTCACTAACTCATCTCCTCTTGTCTCCCCTTTTCCCTTATATCCCCCCTTCCAGTCCTTCCCACATCTAAGCATAGCTATATGCTCTCCTTTCCTTTCCTAGGGATATCTATCTGACCATCTGTATACCTAACTTCTGTGGTTCTTCAGATTGTGGCTTGGATATCATCAACTTAATAGCTAATATCCACATACAAGTGAATACAGATCTTTGTGGGTCTAGATTATCTCACTCAGAGAGACCTTTCCTAGTTCCATCCATTTACCTGCAATTTTCATGATCTTATTTTTTTAATGGCTGAGTAATATTCCATTGTGCAATGTACCACAATTTTTTATCCATTTTTTTCTGCTGAGGGAATCTTGTTGTTTCCAATTATGTGCTATTTTGAATAGAGCTGCAGTGAAAATCATTGAGCAAGTAAGTGCCCCCGTGGTAGGGTCAAACATCTTTTGGATATTTATCCAAGAGTGGTATAGCTGGATATTGAGATAGATGCATTCCTATCTTTCTGAGGAACCACCAACTGATTCCCAAACTGGCTTTAGATGCTACCATAGACACAAGCAATGGATCAGTGTTCCCCATGTTCCACACCCTTGCTAAGAGGAAATGCCACATGTTTTATTGATCTTGGCCACTCCAACCAATGTGGGCATGTAGCTTTGGTTGCAATATCTCAGATGGCTAAGGATGTTGAAAATATCTTTAAGTGGTTTTCAACCATTTGAATTTGCCTTTGAGAATTCTGCTTATATCTGTACTCCATTTTTAATTGGATTATTTATTTCATTGATATCTATGTTTCTGAGTTGTTTATACATTTTGGATACCATCCCTCTACTGAATATGTAGTTGGTAAAACCATTTTTTCCATTCTCTAGCTGGCCACTTTGTCCAAATGACAGTGTCCTTTACCATACAGAAGTTTTACAGATTTTTGAGGTCTTACTCATTAATTTTTTAAATCTCAGTGTCTATACTATTTGTTTTCTGTTCAAGAAGTCTTTTCCTGTGCCAATGAGTTCAAGGATATTTCCCAACTTCTCTTCTATCTGGTTCAATGCATCTGGTTTTATGTTGAGGTCCTTGGGAATTGGAATTATCTATTTGGAATTGAGTTTTGTGCAGGGTGATAAGTATGAACCTATTTATATTCTTCTATATGTAACTATCCAATTTGACCAGCACCATTTGCTGGGGAAGCTGTCTTTTTTCTGGTATGTGTTTCTGGCTTCTTGAAAAAAAAATCCGGTGTCCATCAGTGTGTGTATTCATGTCTGAGTGTTTAATTTGACTCCACTAATCAACCTGTCTGTTTTTGGGCCAATAGCATGTTTTCACTTGCTTAGCTAGAGTTACCCAAAGATATTTTGTATTATTACAGATTACTGTGAAAAGTGCTGTTTCCCAGATTTCTTTCTGAATCAGTTTGTCATTTGTGTATTGAAAGGCTACTGATTTTTGTGAGTTCATTTTTTGTCCGCTGTTGTGTTGAAACTGTTTATCAATGTAGGAGTTTCTGGCAGATTTTTTAGAGTCACCTATTAATACTGTCATATCATTTGAAGATAAGGATACTTTGTGACTTTTTCCTTTTATCTCCCTTTATCTCCTTCAGTCTTCTTGGAGAGAAATTTAAGAGTACAACAATAATGTATACCGCAATGATTAATCTCAAAAATTTAAAAATTCTCTAACATTTTTTCATGCTGCAAATCAAATATGGGACTTTGCATATTATTGACAAGATACCACCACTGCACCATATACCTAGCCTAAGTAATGATTTCTTATGGGTTCATGCTCATAAATGGAATCTGCATATACTACAGGAAAAGTGATGTTTAACTCATCCCCTAATAGTCTTTATTAGAGTGTTTCAAATATGAATAAATCAAAATTTATCAATTTAATTTTAGAAAAAATTCTAAATTCATCCAAGAACATTTGATGAATTAAACTTACAAATAAACATGGTGTCTAAAGGGTGACATTTTCTAAGAACAATAGAGATATTAATATCAAAGAGGAAGAAAAACATATTCCAATGTTATTATATTATAAGCAGGGGGATAAAGGCCAGAAGATCTCAGGTGGCTCTTGAAAACAAAAAAAAATAATTCCTATTGGAAAGAAATTTTCTATTCTTTATTTGAAATCTTTAAAAATTAGCCTGTAGGTTGGGATTATTTTTGAAGAAATTAAATTCCTGATTGAAGAGTTAAAAAGTTTTTTGTTTGTTTGTTTGTTTGTTTTTACATAGGCACCGGAGAACCATGGAAGACTTAGTATTGAAAAGCAACTCAGTAAAAGTCTAGTGTTTCTGAAAGGTCTTAGAAAGATTGTACATGAAATAAAGAAAATTCATAAACAACAATAACAGTTGGAAAGACTGTTAGTTTAGCGACCTGAGTAATATAAACAAGTGGCATTAAATTGAATTTTTCAAGATTTATTCTAATGATCACAAAATGTAGTTCTTTACTGTTTTCAACTTAAAACTTTCAAAAATCTTCTTTTACATTGGTTGAAGCTATATTAATATAAATTTAACTAACATAGTAACAGCACATTAACTTTTTTCCTGGCCATTTAAAAGTCCAATATGGAACCTAGGGCAGTATAAAGTGAATGTTCACTCTATGGCTGTTCCTTTTTCACATATAATAACTGAATGTTTATCTTGGAGAACCTGGCATTTTCCCAACATGGATCCACTGAAATGACTGAGATTCTTTAAAATTATTGTGTGTCAAGTTGCATGGTGATGTTATCACTTGGACTCTATGAATTTTGCTGTATACTGCATTTACTTCAATCTTGGTCAAGTTGGGAGAAAAAAAAAAACTAATTTTAGGCACTGTGAGTTTTCATTTCCTTTTAAAACAGACAGAGAAAACACAGAATTGTAGCAACTCCTTGTGCATCACTGTTCACCATTCTTTCCAGGTTTTCAATCCTGCAGTTGTTGGCTTTGCAGACTGCCTAGCCCAGTGGCCTTTTCCTGAATGTCTAAAAACTTGCAGTGCAAGGCAAATAAACTGCTTTGAGGCATTGAATTCATGAAATCTTGCCAATAACCATACACTAGAAGGTTAGAAGTTGATCCACAGATCTCTGACATACATAGCATCAAAGCCTCTTCTTATTTATGGTGGATTTGTTTTTTGTGAGTTAATGTCCCTTGGCACTTTTGCCCTGTGTGTGCCATCATTACCCTTACCTCACTAATTCTGTCTCTCTCTCTTTGCTTTGATGGCTTCAGTGGGAAGAGATCAGCGGTGTTGATGAACATTACACACCCATCAGGACTTACCAGGTGTGCAATGTCATGGATCACAGCCAAAATAATTGGCTGAGGACCAACTGGGTCCCCAGAAACTCGGCTCAGAAAATCTACGTGGAGCTCAAGTTCACACTGCGGGACTGCAACAGCATTCCATTGGTTTTGGGGACTTGCAAGGAGACCTTTAACCTGTACTACATGGAATCTGATGATGACCACGGCGTGAAATTCCGAGAGCATCAATTTACAAAGATTGACACCATTGCCGCTGATGAAAGTTTTACTCAGATGGACCTTGGGGACCGCATTCTGAAACTCAACACTGAGATAAGAGAAGTGGGACCGGTCAACAAAAAGGGGTTTTATTTGGCTTTTCAAGACGTTGGTGCTTGCGTTGCCTTGGTGTCTGTGAGAGTGTACTTCAAAAAGTGCCCGTTTACAGTGAAGAATCTGGCTATGTTTCCAGACACAGTGCCTATGGACTCCCAGTCCTTGGTGGAGGTTAGGGGCTCTTGTGTCAATAATTCCAAGGAGGAGGATCCTCCCAGGATGTACTGCAGTACCGAGGGAGAATGGCTTGTCCCCATTGGCAAGTGCACCTGCAACGCTGGCTACGAAGAACGAGGTTTCATATGCCAAGGTAAGAACCTTCTCTTTTTCTTTACACTTGAATTTGTCTCCTGTGAGTTTATTAGGAAGTAATGAAAATGAATTAACCTGATCTGATCTCACTTGGCAGCACAACACAGCCCAGAATCACGACTCTATTTATGTGCTAAAATTATCCTATTTGATGTGTTGATTCGTGATCTGTTGTGAAATATTAATGGGTGTAACTCTGGGGTGCTGGACTGCACCCTGTAGAGGTGTCATCTGTGCTATTTTTTCATTGTATTTTAATTTAGTTAGTTACTTGGAAGGATGCCCACATACAATGGTGCATTTTGTAAAGGTATTAGAACAGCTTGAGGAAATGGGTTGTCCTTTTAGCATTTGGATCCTGGGTATCAAGCTCAGGTTATCAGGCTTGATAATAGGCACCTTTACAGGCTGTGCCATCTCCCAGGTTTGAGATTTGCTTGCTAGCTCATTACTGATGGTAGTGTAACTGCAGCAACGGAAGTGAAATACATCTGCCTTTCTTGACAGGGAAGGTGGGAATGCCTTTGATACTCAGTTAATCTAGCTATAACAGAATTAGATATTGTGGTGATTATATTTGGGTCCACCGATCACAGCAATATGTTCTTGATATTTATAAAGTATTGCCTGTTCTTCAGTGATAGTTGTATACTGAGTGGATGTTTAAATGCTCTAAAAATCATTTTATTTAAAAGTCCAAAACTGATGTGTTCATATTTGCTTATTGTGGTGAAATTGTTTTTGGTGTGTGTGTCGGGGGTGGGGGGTGGGGAGGCAAGAAGTTCTGTGGGAAGGGAGTCAGGGAGAATCTGGGTGCATTTGGTGGAGGAAAAGCATGATCAATATCTACTGAATGAAAAAAATCAACTAAAACAGTTTTAAAAGAAAATCCTAAATTATAAGAAATTATCAGGGTAGAGACATGGCTCAGCCATTAAAGGCTCGGCTCACAACCAGAAACATAAGAAAATTATCTTTCCTCATTTTTTTGTTTTTCTATGACTCAAAGCATTACATGTATTTCTCCTGAGTTGTATGTAATGTGTGTTTTATAATTTAAATATTATTAGGGAATCTGAATTTTGCCATCAGCTTGAGTTTTATTTTTTTTAAGTTTGTGTATTTGATGTAAAAACCACTTAAAATATATTTTTCATATAAAAGTATACATATCAAACATGTAAGATTAAAAGCCCATTAATCAAAATTTTTATTTACAGTTAGGAATGGTTTTTTATACTTGATCATGCTCGAAGTATCAATTATGTTATAAGTGTACAAGTATATAGGTGGCTATTAGTACATAGTCTTGTGGCTTTGTTTTCATTTTCACACTTCTATTTGCTGTTAGACTCTGTCAAGAAAAAAGGGTCTATTATTCCGCTGATGCACATTCAATAATCACGGTTCAGAAGCACATATGAAGGGAGTGCTATACTCTCTATGTGGCTTGCTCTTTAAAAGAAAAAAATGTCAGCCGGGCGTTGTTGACACACGCCTTTAATCCCAGCACTTGGGAGGCAGAGGCAGGCGGATCTCTCTGAGGTCGAGGCCAGCGTGGTCTCTAGAGGGAGTGCCAGGATAGGCTCCAAAGCTACACAGAAACCCTGTCTTGAATGCTAATTTTGTTTCATTTCATTGTTTGAAAACTGATAGATGTGTTTGTTGAAATTAAAATTTTTTAGCAGTGTAATTGTCCTATCAAGTAGAAATTGTCAACAACCAAAAATGTCAATAGAATACAGCCTCTTTCCTTTGACTATAGGCATGGTTTCCAAAAGCACATTAAATAAAGGACTGGCGGGGTGGTAGAGTGGGCTAGGTGCTTTCTGTGCAAACACGAAAGCCTGAGTTAAATCTCTGGCATTCAGATAAAAGTCATATGCAGTGGTCAAGTGTAACCCCAGTGCTGGTACAGGGAAGAAAGGCAGCCCTTAGATCTGAGGGCTTGCAGCTCAGCAGGTCTAGTCAAAGCAGCAAGTTCTGTATTCTGTGAAAGAATCTTGTTTCCAAAAGAGAGAAAGAATGAAAAAAAGAAGGAAGGAAGGAAGGAAGGAAGGAAGGAAAGAAAGAAAGAAAGAAAGAAAGAAAGAAAGAAAGAAAGAAAGAAAGAAGGAAAGTAACAAACAGCCAACCAATCCACCCACCCACCCATCCACCAACCAAGTGAACAAACAAAAAACAGTGGAAAGGGGTAGAAGATGATATACAATGTTGACCTCTGGCTTCCACATGTCTGCGCACAGGCAAGGGTACCTACATCCATGTGTGCACTCATTTATACAGACAAGTATTTGTACTTGATTATATTAAATAAGAACAAATTGTATACTGTAGCATCATATTTTTCTGTGTTGTTCAGAAAATGCCACAAGTATGGCATCATTAAAATGGTTTTAAATTAAAAAAATATAGTTACATTTTATTGAGATTCAGTATTGGAGAAAAATCTTTATATTCCATTTGAATTCTACTTTGTCAATAGGATATTTGTGGTATATGGGATTTGTAAAAATTAACATCAAATAAAATCATAAAGGGGTACCTCCAAAAGAATTGAAAAACTGTCCAGTTTATACTACTTATGAGATATTTACTTAATTTTTAGGATAATATTAAAATTTTAAAGAATTTTTCTGCATTCATTCTAGGCACTGTGCTACTCTCCTAAGAAATTCCAATGACCTACTACAATTATATCTCATAATAACTTAGGAAGTGTACACTGATTTTAGTTAACAGTAAGAACATTGCTTATTTTATTTTTAAAATATTATTATTTAGTAACTAGGGTGTTTCACCTGTTATATGTCTATACACCATATGTATGCCCGATTCCATAAAATGACAGATCCTATGGAACTGGAGTTATAGGAAATTGTATGCCAGCATGGAGGTACTGGAAATTGAAACTAGCATTTTGGAAGAGCAGCTAGTTCTCTTAACCACTAAGCCATCCCTCTAGCTTCTGTTGTTGTAATCAATAATCTATTATATGCCTTATATGCATCTGTTTATTTCTGACATCTACATTGTTTTGAGAATTTTAATAATGATTTGTAAGTAAAAGATAATTATTGGGTTCTGTAAGCTATGTCCAGGTGGCAACTAAGAACATCTAAATTTGCAGATTATCAAGAATCTTACACTTGCAAAATAGTCTGTGAAATGCAATTTAGTAAGTGTTCCTCACAATCTATTAGTGCAAAATAATAATATGTAAGACAAGGGAGAAATGCAGATGAATGGTCATTGTATTTACCTTTCAGGAGCACAGTCTCCTCAGAATGACAGATGCATAAATTAATAAATGTACTGGAAGACAGACCCATAAATCTCCTGTCCTGTGTTCAATGAGTTTTGCCAGCATAGTAGAGAAAGACAGTAATACAATGAATTTCAAAATTAAACATAAAAATGCTAATTGATTATGAGATTGCCTTTGTGTTGGTTTTAGACTCATTGTTATTATGTTTAAAAATTTTTGGAATAGGAATATGAGGAGGGGTTGTCCCTATGACTCTTACATATTCTAGAAGACATGAGTTCCCAATTGCTAGTACATCATTATACTGAAATTCTTCAAACATACAAATGACACATAAGATTGGTTTTCCATGAATCCCTGTCACAAAGAGGCCTTTAGGAAGATTCAAATTTCATTTCTATGCCATTTCCTAACATAATTAATCTAATATGCCAATTATTTTCCAAATCTAAATAGATAATTAGGACACTTAAGGTTTAGTGATCTGAATGATGAAAATGTGACAATTTCTACTTGATAGGACAATTACACCGCTAAAAAATTTTAATTTCAACAAACACATCTATCAGTTTTCAAACAATGAAATGAAACAAAATTAGCATTCTCCAGAGGCAAAATTATAAGTTTGGAACTTTAATGTACATAATTTATATTTTACAATAATCTACTTTTACTCTTATTTAAAATTACTAGGCAGTATCATTTGACCATGGAGTCCTTAACATGTGCTTAGTTTCGGGTTGAAGATTAGAATAAAAATCAAAAGATATATATCATCATGGATGAATTAATTTGTTTTATACTTCAAAAAATGTTGGGCCATAATGATGGTACAATAGCAAGAGTGCTTGCAGCTCTTGCAGAGTTTTGTTCCTAGTACCCATGTTGGGCATCTTATAACAACTTGTAACTACAGCACCAGGGCATCCAACTGCCTCTTCTGGATGCATATGTGGCATGTACACGCACATGTGTACACACACACACACACACACACACACACACACACACACAGAGAGAGAGAGAGAGAGAGAGAGAGAGAGAGAGAGAGAGAGAGAGAGAGAGAGAGAGAGAGAGAGAGAGAGAGAGAGAGAGAGACAGAGAGACAGAGAGACAGAGAGAGAAGAGAGAGAGAGACAGACAGACAGACAGACAGACAGACAGACAGACAGACAGAAGACACTGAGACACGTATACATGACAAACCCTTAATTTAAAATATATGTTTGTTTTTAAAAATGATTCCGTCTGCCTGTGAAAGAAAATGAAGGTTCAACTAATTTATTAAAGACATAAATTATAGTTAAATGCAGGGTTTACATCTATAATCCCAGTCCTCGGCAGCTCAAGGCAGGTTAATTGCCATGAATATGAGGACAGCCAGAGCTATGCTGTGAGCTTCAGGTGAGGTTGGGTTATGGTATGAGATCCTGCCTCAAAAATTAAAGAGCCAATAAAAAGTTAATCAGTTAACAAAGTACTCTGGAAAAATGAGCTATTGGTGCTACTGTGGAAATGGGTTTTGGTGCAGGAGAAAAGTTAACAAGATAGTAAGCCTCTCTTCCACAAGATGCCATATTATGTAGCTGATCTTCCTTTATTTTTTCCTTTTTTAAAAATAGATTCTTTTCTCATATTTATATCCTGATTATAGTTTTCCCTCTCTCTACTCCTCTCAGTTCCTCCCTATCTCCCCCTACTCTGGATCAACTCCCTTTCCACCTCTCATT